CCTTTCCCCGGGCGCCCGGGGCCGCCGAGGACGAAGAGAACCTTGTGGCGAAGCGATGAAGCCATGCTGCTAATGCTGCGGATGCGGAGGCGACTTTAGAAATGAGCTCGGCCGTGCATTGGAATGTCATCCGGATACGAAGCGCCAGTCATCCGGATGCAAATCTTGGTCCGAGCAACCTCAACGTGGCGCCACTCCAACTTGGGTGACCACGCAGAGGCGTCGTACCGGTATGTAGGGCAAGGCGCAGTAGAAGCAGGGCAGCTCGATGGCCTGGACCAAGCAGATCCTTGTCCCTCCCAGGCGCCGACGGCGAGGACCTACTACTAGTACTAGTACTTCAGCATGGACGCTCCGGTCTTGCGCGGTCCATGCCCGACCCATGGTAGACCCATGGACCATCGCATGCGTACGCGTATGAAAAAAGCAGAGCAAGAAGCTACGCTCAATGGGAGGGATCCTCTGGCAATGCGCATTTAGCTTTGGTAATGATGCATGTGCTCTCAGTAAATGTATCAGTGTGTTGCGCGGTAGCTTGATCATGGCAAAGACATGGCATGCGTCGAGACTTGCAGTCTCCTTCTTCTCATTCGCTCGCTCGCTGCGTCGTGGCGGCGCAGGCGGTGGTGCATCGTGCTCTTCTGTCGTCGTCCAGGGACGCTTGCGGGTGAGCCCGACGAGCTTCTAAATCCTTCCAGGCGCAGTTTGTTGAGGTCTTCGACACACCCCATCGACGGAGGCACTCTCCTGCCGACTTGACCATCGCTTGCATCCGTACAACGTATGAAAGAAGCAATCGACAGAAACCTCTCGCAATGATGCGCTTAAGTAGACGAGCTTGTACTCACTACTACTGGCAGAAAGGTGAGAACGTGGGCGTCTGTCTCGGGCAGCTTGGTGTTGGCCACGCTATGGCGCTCGTCCCACGTGAACCCGCTCTGCACAACCATGCGCGAGCCAAAGAACTGCATCTTGTGCCCACGGCGCGGGCTCGGCGGATGCCCGCGGATCGTCGGCGTCGACCAGCGTAGCTGCATCGCATCGAACTCGTACGTTGTGTTGTCGAGCTCGTGCGTCGAGCTGTCTTGGCCGCCAAAAACGAGCAAATGCCGGTGGCCGATCAGGGTTGTGCTGTGGCCGCGGCGGTCCGACGGTCGCGGCCCGCAGAGCGTGGGCTTCGACCACGCCATCTCGGTCAGGTTCGCATCCAGAAACGTGAGGCAGTGGCAGTCGAACAAGCCGTTAGACTCGCGAATCTACTAGGTCTATGAAGGGTGTCGTCTCGTTGGTACCCGCTTCGAACCTGCTTGCCGCCAAAGATAAGGAGTTCGCGCTTGGCGCGGTTGGGCTGGAAGACCGCGTGAAGCGTGCGGCCCATGGGCGATACCATCTCGGCCGTGGGCTGCGACCACCGAAACGCACCCAGCCCCATGTCTAGTTGCACAATGTCAGGTTCAGGTTCAGATTGAGATGAAAGAGGAAAGATAAAAAAGTACCGCCGTAGTCGTGTGCGATTTGATGCAACAGAAAGATTTCCAGATTCGGAATCGCCGTCGTGCCGCTGCTGCCGCCCGAGAAGAGCACGGTCATTGGGTCGAGCACCGTGGCCACATGGCTCGAGCGCGGCGAGGGCGGGACACCCGTCGTCTCGGGCTCGACCCAGTACGCCTTGGTCTTCCCGGTCGCCCGACTAGATGACAACTTGTTCCTTTTTGGATCGTGGAGACTATTAAGCCTACTCGCGGGTCTGGCAGCAGAGGTAGAGATCGTTAAATGCCTGGAACGGATACGTCTCGGCTTGGCCACCAAAGACGATGAGGCGGCGCCAGTGCTGGTTGGCAAACTCGTTGTCGTCGCCACAGACAATCGAGCGTGCGACAAAAAGGGGTGGCAGCGCCGTGATCGAGTGGTTGCGTCGTGGGCACGGGCCGGCGCCCATCGGGCGGAGCTTCTCCCATTTGGCCATGTCGAGGGTTCCAAAACGCGGGTCGTCGTCGTTTGAGGAAGTGATGTGAATCGAGGCGAGTGGTATCTGCCAGAGGCTAAAGAGGTAATGCCCGCCACACCTAGGATGTCCATGTCGTCACTGTGATGCTGATGGAGAGGTGAATGGAGGAATGGATGGTTTACCGAAGCAGGTGGGCGCCGTCGACTGCGTACTCGGTCGGGTCGACCTTGAGCTTGCGCAGGCCACTGCTGACCTCGGACGCGCATGCGGACCACGACATGTGGCGCGACGACGTGAACGCCGTATAGAGCGCTGGCCACGTCTAATGCATCGCGTCAGTAGATGCTGCTGCGTCATCTTCGTACGCGAGGCACGGGCGAGGCCATGCGGTACGCGGCGATCGATGGCGTGAGGTAGTCGACGAAGCAGTAGCGCTTGCACGCGTCGATAAAGTACGGGCGGAAGAGCCGCTCGAAGCTTTTGCTCACGGCGACAAGCGCGCCAAGGTCGGCCACGGTGCACGCAGCACAGATCTGCGCCAAGAAGTCATCATGGAGCCTCGCGAGGCCCATCCTCGCCGGCTCCGAAATGGCGTCGGATTGAAAGGGCCTCTTTTGATTGGCCAAAAGGCCGACAGTTGCAGCGATGCCATTGGACGACACATTCCAGGCACGTCGAGCTCTTGCCACGACGTCGGCGATCCGACCAAGGAGGTGGACACAAATAGAAGGGCATATGCCCGGCCACATGGACGAGTCGCTGTACAAGTATGCAGCGGCGCTGATGACGACGACCTTCCACGCGACGGCGGCCTTGCCGACGGGCAGCGATACGCCGATAACGGGTCACTATGCATCCCCGCCTGCGCTCTTGACGAGGGCGCCGAGCCCGACAACGTGCTCGGAAACCCAACAACAAACCTCAGGTGCAAGACGACTAATCATATGCGAGCGATTACTGCTCAAAAGGTGCATCCAAATCGGAGCCGTGGTCTCCAATCCACTCCCAACGACCAAGTGCTGGTGCCATCTCCCACGCATTCAGGCGTAGCACAGCGTTGGCGAAGTCTTGGAGTTGGTTTTTGCTCATTTGATTTCAACGCGAACCCGTTTGATTGATTGATTGATTGGTCTCCCATCGGGCGAACCAAACGCCTAGTGCTTTTGCGATCTGGCCATCAAGAAGGCACAGATTGTTTTGGCCTAATGAAGCAACATGAGAGTATTTGTACATGTTGACGTGCGTCGATTTAGTTATACTTTACATTAAACAACTTTGTACGATATGTCGTCGTCTACCCGTTGCTCATATATAACGTCGGTGGGACTATAGAGCATGAACGGCGGGTACGTCAAGTCGCAAATCATGCTGTGGGCCGCGGCAAACGCTTGGATCTCGTCGTGGAAAGGCGTCAGCTCGGTGCCATTGATCGGCACCATTTTGATGCACACGAATTTGCACTTTGCAAGGGCCTCCAGTACCATGCGGATGCCGTCGACAAACGAGTAAAACACAGCGAGGGCAACAGAGCGGTGATCCATTTCAGCAAGGGAATAGTGTTGTTGTGCTCCATAGGATTCCAGTCATCGGACCGGAGGCAGTTAAAATATGGATACAACATCGTCTTGTAAAAGCCTAGTATGGTATTAAAAGATATAGCTTGATTGTTCGTCGTCCTCGTAGGCGCCCGTCGGGCGCGCCGGTGGCACGACGTTGTTCTTGTATGGGTTGTGCGTTGTCGTTGTAGTACTTGGCAGTGGTCGCGGTGCCAAAAACGACGTCGGTGCCCCGGTCGTCGGTGTTCGCGGCGGCTGCGCCCGCGTCCGTTGCTGCACGGCGAGGCTTGGTCGGTTGAAAAGACCGAGTCCGTCCTTGGCGCCCGCAGTCGTCGGCGTCGTGCCGGCGTAGCGCTGGTAGCCAAAGTCGTCGGTGGCTGCCGTCGCATCCAGCGACGCGCGGTTGGAGAACGTCGACGGGTTGATCGTCGCGCGCCGCGAGAGCGGGTCGACGGATATCTTGTTGGCGTTGGATGCAATCGCCACCGACGTCATTTCCATTTCGCCGCCCTGCGATGACGGCGGCGCGTCGGTCAAGCCTGAGCGCGAGTTGATGTCGTTCGTGCGCTTCTTGACCTTGAAGTAGACGAGTACCAACAAGATGAGAAAGACGAGCGAAATGCCGATGCCAATAATGAGGATCGTCGTCGACGAAATGCCCGAGCTTGACGCCGCTGGCGCCTCCGTTGGAGGCGCGGTCGTCGTCATCAATGGCGTCGTGGCACCAGGCGGTGTCGAGACCGGTGTCGTCGAGACCGGTGGCGTCGTTTTGGAGGGTGTCGTTGTTGTTGCGTCCGCCTTGATTGTGGCATTGACGCCCGTTGAAAACACCTGGCCGCTGCCCGAGGTGTACATGGGCGCGAGAAAGTATGCGCCCGCCGCGTTAAGAGGCACGGTCGCGGTGTACGAGGTGTGGGTAGCGTTAATGACCGTCGCCGTCGCCGGCACAAAGGTCGATGCGGCGCCGAGTGCGCACGACGTTGTCGCAAACGAGCAGACAGCGACGGATCCTGTGCCAGTGATCGGATCGCCATACGTACTGTGCACGGTAAAGGTCACGGTTTCGGTGCCCGCGGCCGCGTTGACGATCGGTGCCGTCACAAGGGCAATCTGCATGCCGCAGGCCAAGCCAGTGCTCGATTGGGTTGCCCATCCGGCGCCGCAGCTCGTTTCTACCATCGGTCGTGGTGAGTACAATCGTTGTTGGGGGGTGAGGTTCGAGCTCGAGGGGTGTACCAGCGGCGATGAGAGTCGCGGTGGCCGCGAGAAGGGCGATTGTGTCGAGCCCCCGCATGGCGTTGAAAGCAAATGTGGTCGTCGTCGGAGGACATGGCTGGTGTAGAATACAAACTATGTGATCGACCTCTAGCTCGCACGCAGCCTGTCAACGTCAAGGCAAAAGTGTACTGAAGAGCAGCTGGCGCCGTGACCATCTTGACTGCGAAACGCCACGGTTGGAATTTTCAAATGACCAGCCGATCCCGACTTCGCGCGCGCTGATTGGGTCGCGAGGTATAGAGGGGGCCGTGGACCGACGCTGGCGTCCAGCGACAAGCGCGGTTCGTGGCGAGACGCACCTTCACAATCCACTCTTTCATCAGGTTGGAGGTTTGAATGCTCTTTTTGGTCAGCTTTTTATCGCCCGTTGCGCGACAGGGTTGCGCGGGCCGAGATTCGATGCGAAAGCCATCCAACTTCAAGACGGGGACGATAGCAGACGGTGATTGGTGCGTTTGATGCTTGATTCGACATATGATTGGCTAGAACATAGACTTGACGTTTGTATGGGTATCGGTTTCCCTGTAGATAACTGATTTCGGATTCGAGCAACATGCTCACGGCGCACCGGCGGAAGTCGGTCATCGTCCAGCAAATGGTATCGCGCTCTACGGCACACCTAAGATCACAGTGTCAATGTATAGGCGGACTTTGTCCCGGTCACCGAGCTGCCAGACGATGTGCATTGGTGGGAAGCCCGCGCCCGCGTCGTACAGGAGTGGCTTCGCGCCAACCCCTTGCGCATCGGTCTTCCGGACGACGGGACCATCGAGGTGCCGATATTGTCATAAATCCATGTTTTGATCCTCGCTCGCCGCGTGCTTATAGACCATTACGCAGCAGCTCACACGTGGCGACAAGTACATTCACGTTCGCGTCAAGGCATGGAATCACATTGGTACGCGTGCTCTTCTTCCTAACCGCGTTAATAAGTTCTTAATCTTTTCTAGTCACGGAGCTACAAGGCATTCCTGGCGTCTGTGAGAAATTTGCCACGTTCGAGACCAGCCCCGAGCTGCCGATGGCGACCGTGGTCGTTGACGACGAGGACGACGACGAGCAAGCAAGCCACGCCTCGTCGCCGCTGAGCGACACGACGACAGACGAGCCAGCGCAGATCGACGGCGTCGTGCCACTGCACCCGGCAAGTCCCTTTCGTGGAAAACTGCACCCGACCAAAGCGAAGTCGCTGCACGAGCCCGCCAAGGACGACGTGTCCGTTCTCGCGCCTGCAACCAATCAAACCGACAAGCCCGACGCGCCCCGAAAATCGATAGCTCAAATGTCCATGATGGAGCGCCAAGAAGAGTGGCTGCGCAAAAAAGCAGAAAAAGCCGCCGCCGAAAAACAGCGCCAATTGGACGAAGCCGAGAAGGAGCTCACGTTCCAGCCGAGTTTGGTCAAAAAACCCAAAGCACCCGACACGGACGGTGCCAACTCGCCCCGAAAACTCCAGCGGTCCAAGTCGGCCGGGCGCGCCCGCAAATCCTCGGCGCTGTCCAAAGACAAGTCGATTGTCATGCTCAAACCTGGCGCCAAGTCGGCCACTTCGAAATCGCTCTTGGATTCCGTCAAGTCGGAGCTGGCCGCGTCGACGTCGATACCCGTCAAGCCCCCTACCATGACAGCCACTATCAGTGCCAAGCTCGATGTTGCGGCGGTGGCCGAGCGCACGGAT